GGAGTGAAAAGCACACGTAAGCAGATCTTCCCACGCAGAATGTTTTAGTTATTTTAGGGGTTTTGAACGTGTCATTTGATCAAGGTTCCGTTTTAACCTAAATCATTCGCTATTTATTGCTGTGGAAAGCATCTTTTAACTGGTTTGGGGCTAAATCAAATCCAAAACCAGATTGCGATACTTTTCGAGCATGAATATCTTCAACATCAATTTTGTTTTTTTCCCCTGCAACAATCAAACATCAACTGTTTGCACCAGAATAACAACTCGCATTCAATTCTAATTTTTTTGTGCAGATCAATAACAAGACGTGATGCAGGAAGATCTGATCCGTTTCATCTGACCACATGACCTCAAGATGCTGGATTACATTGATTCTCACCAGACCTCCGCAGCGTTGTTCGGCCAACAGATAAACCAACTGTTTAAGCAATAAGTGACCTCAGTGTTGAAATTGACAATCATTGTCACTGCTATTGACAACTGTAGTCGACAAGGTGTACACAGCTTCTGAAATAGATATTAGTGTCGTCAATGGTGACATTTGGTTGCAACCACAATTCGACAAATATTTCCTAATAACTTCTGTTATATCAGATTGATCTTGTTACTGACCAACATGTCTGTTTATTTGTGGTAAACGAGAGCTGTATTCCAGAGACAGGAATCATGTGTACAGTAGATTTCCATGGCAACACAATTAGCACTCAGGTGTAATTACGCGACATTTCACACGTGCAACAGATCAAAAGATGTCATGTGGCATAAGGTAATTATCAAACAAATGTATAAAAGCTTGTATCAATGTTTGGGGCGGTCGGGTAGCCTAGTGGTTAAATTGTTCGCTCGTCACGCTCAAGACCCGGGTTCGATTTCCGACATTGGTACAATGTGTGAAGCCCATTTCTGGCGTCCCCCGCCGTGATATTGCTAAAAGCGGCGTAAAACCATACTCAGTCAGTCAGTCAGTGTTGTACTAGCAGTATAAGTGAGAATATCCTTTCATCTACAAGTTGATAAAATATGACATGTTTTTTCTAAAATTGTCGTTATTACATGACAGAGATTTCCTCCACAACACACTGAACATCGACATGAAACAATGACTTCAATATTAGTTTGTTTTGTTTGTTTGTTGTTTAACGCGACACTCAGCAATGTTCCAGCTATATGACGACGGTCTGTAAATAATCGAGTCCGGACCAGACAATCCAGTGATTGACACCATGAGCCTCGATCTACGCGGATACAGGTTGTGAATGTTCAGGGTTGCGGAGTGAGGTTTTAACGGAAATGTTAAATGTCCCGTACACTCCCCAGCCTGGTTCCCTGGGTATGCTGCGCTGGCAATGACTGCACAATGGCCGCCTCCACTAGACGAACAAACATGGCGGACACGACATGTATTTACTTTTGAAAAACGCTAGAACGGGTGGTTATAATTTTTTCTTTGCATTTTCATGAATGCTCTTGCAATGTTTACGTCACGAGAATAACGTCCATTGTTACTTTTAGTGAAGGAAAATATTATTTAAGCTTTTTCGAGGCTCGAAAGTGGTCGTCACATCGGTAAAATGTAAACAATGACACACACCAATTTCGACGGTGATAGTTTCGTAATATTTCGTGTCAGCTCACTGTTGTCACGAAATCGTACACATAATATATGAAATTAAACGACCACGTTAATGAAATACCGTTAGCATCTTTAGTTTAGCAAATCTGATGACACAGATGTCGCCCCGTTTTCTTCCATTGTAAAGTGGTGGGTTTAGCGGAGTTATTGAACGCCCAGTATAATAACTAGAAAAACAACAACACTCTTTTGATCCGTAATAATGGTATTTAATGATAGGGTCTGTCATTGGTTCTGACATTTGGCCTTTGAATTTTATTCAGATGAAAAGCCATTTATTTGGCATTTGTTTTCTTATTACACAATGAAATTAATCATAAATAGATCTAATACTTTTGGAAAAATAATTAATTAATCAAATATTGTTTTTTTAACTATGTTTGTGCTTGTATAAATGTCGGATCTGATAGCATAATAATAAAGAACATGTTTATTATTTTGAATTAATTTGGTACAGTGGCATACACATCCATGTGTTTTCTCTTTTTCACAGGATGAAAAAAATGAAAATGTAACAGTAGTCATGGTGTGGCATGTTATAATTATACATATTATTTATTATCAAAGTTCAAATAATGTATTCAAGCAAATTAATAATAATTGTAATTTTAGATGATTCTACTGACCAATCTACATTAACTCCAAAGGGTTTTCAACAATCAGACATCTGAGAAACGGGTGGTTATAATATTTTTCATAGCATTTTCACGAATGCTCTTGCAATGTATACGTCACGAGAATAACGTCCATTGTTACTTTTAGTGGAGGAAAACATTACTTAAGCTTTTTCGAGACTCGAAAGTGGTCGTCACATCGGTGAAATGTAAACAATGACACACCCCATTTTCGACTGATATTTTCGTTAATATTTCGTGTCAGCTCACTGTTGTCACGAAATCGTACACATAATACATTAAATTAAACGACCACGTTAATGAAATACCGTTAGCGTCTTGCGGAGGCGTGGCAAAATTATGATTGGTAGTTCGAATCCCAGGTTGGTCTTGGTTGTTCTTCGGTTAGTCTGTGCTATAACGGTAATCGTGGGTTTTCCCAGAAAAGAGTGGATAAGCGTCCCTGTGTCATTTTACCCTCTTTTTACGCCTCCGCATCCGTGGTCCAGTGGTAGGACAATCGGTGGCTCGAACCCCGGCCGCGTCGTATCGCAAGGCGTCAAAAGATGTTACGTAGAGGGGAATGTCCGAGTAACTCTCCATTTCTTAAAAATAATGGAGCAGAGGCCCCGCAGGGGCAGAGGCCCATTATTTTTAAGGAATGGAAAGTTACGAGGATATTCCCCTACTTAAAACTCATCCCTACTTTTACACTTTGACAAAAGTTTCTGTAGTTGAAAATATTTGAAAAATTCAAATGCTGCTTCAAGATAATGTACAGCTGACAAGCAACTCCCCATTCCTGAAAAATAATGGAGCGTTCAAACAATAGAATGACGTCACAGATCTGTTTTAATTGTTGTTACCTTGCCTGGCGCTAGAGCATTAAGGGGCTAAAACAAGGACTGGTCGGCTCGGAATCTGTTTACTGTGTCTGAGTGGTGTATTCATGTTAAACTGCGGCATGGTATCTCAGTGGGCTAGCACTATAAAATCGGAATTAGTCCGGACTAGTACAAGCAGCCACACAAACACTGGCTCGCTGACTTGGTGGATGCATGTCATCGTATCCCAGTTGCATAGATCGATGCTCATGATGTCAATCACTAGATTGACTGGTCGTGACTTTATTATTTATTGACCGCCGTCATTTAACTGGAATATTGCTGAGTGCGGCGTTAAATAACAAACTCAAACAAACAAACCTCGCACGGTAGGTTGATACGTCGTGGTGTACTTACAACTAAAATACTGCTTAAAATACTGCTTAGTTCAGCCGACTCTCTCTACTGTGGCTATTGTTCGGTATGCCTCTGCACCTTCTTTGCGATAATGTTTGTTTGTTGCCGCACTCAGCAATATTCCAGCTATATGACGGCGGTCTGTAAATAATCGAGTCTGGACCAGACAATCCAATGATTGACATCATGAGCATCTATCGACGCAATGGGATACGCATCAACAAAGTCAGCGAGCCTGACCACCCGATCCCGTTAATTGCCTCTTACAACAAGCATAGTCGCCTTGTACGGTAAGCATGGGTTGCTATTCTACCCCGGATCTTCACGCGTCTCTTTACGAGAATGATAAAATAATTTGAACATAATCAGAATTGTCATAAGCGATCCTCACACGATAAGCTGACATTTATTACAGTGTGTTCTAATCTGATTGTGTACGACAGGAGTGTTTGGTGATGAGGTTAAAGGGGGTTAAGCGTCGCTTTCAAGATTATTGCGTGCGCGCGCGTGTACGTGTGCGTGTGTGTGTGGCTGTTTCGGACTAATGCCGCTTTCATAGTGCTAGCCTACTTGGATACCATGGGTCCGAGCCAATTAGTACTGTTTCACACCTTAAATGCCAAGCGCAGGCTGAATAACGTACCACGTACCATGTTTTAAGGTCTTTTGGGATCGAACCCCCTTCCGCTTTCCGCACACGCAGAACTGTTTGATTCGTAGTTGTGTCGACCCGTGAAGATTCCGGGGTAGAATAGGTCTTCAGCAACCCATGCTTGCCGTAAAAGGTGACTATGCTTGTCGTAAAAGGCGACTAACCGGATCGGGTGGTCAGGCTCGCTGACTTGGTTGATTAATGTCATCGATCCCAATTGCGTGGATCGATGCTCATGATATTAATCACTGGATTGTCTGGTCCAGACTCGATTATTTACAGACCGCCGTCATACAGCTGGAATATTGCTGAGTGCGGCGTTAAACAACAAACCAACCAACCGACGCAGTTGTGTCAGCGACGTTGAGCTGGTGTTGACTCACTGATGTAGACATAGACAACAGGATTCGACATAAGACAATCGTCCCTCGCTAAGTTACAACGTGTAACACCTCTAAAATAATCCTGTGAACGGAATCTCACACTTCAAAACTCATCCATGCCTAAAGCGCTCCAGACTCACTTATCGCAAAAGATAATATTTTATTGCCGCTTCAAGCGGCCGGGCACTGCATCATATTTCCGTGTTTCATATATTCACACACCAGCATACATAAATGACTTTCGCGATGTTCTACACACAAAACATCTATAGTAATTCAGTATTTATGTATAAATGATTGATAGGTTTATTCCCTCGAGATCGGCACACCCACCAAAACACCACCCCAACCCCACACCCACCGTAAACCCAAACGAGTCATCATTAAGATTACACAATGTTGATGGAAAACCGAAAAGTTGAATACACGATATCGATAAACCTCATTGTCACGTTAGGATCTCGAATTCCACGTGCAGACCATGCAACTCGTGCAGGTATAAATTCGCCACGCTTCAGAGAGATGGCACATTCGCATCCAAACAGAGCACAGGTAGGTTGCATTGGTGGTAGCGTACAGGTATTTATCACATTGATTTTTAAAAGGCAATAATCTCAATAAACGTTTTGTTAACGAAGTATCGTGTATGTATTCCTATTTCGTGTCTACGTTCGCTATGGCATATGCCGTTCAGTTGATATATTAGGTTTGAATACATCGTTCTACTATATTATGTAGGCCATACAAAACACTATATGGCCGTGTGGACTTAAAAAAGGACTGTCGGAAATGCTAGAAAACTGTTTTTTGCCAGTTCAAAAAAGATATAATTTTTCACAGACTGTTATTGAAATATCGAGTAACTACCGATCAACCTACCTGTGGTTTGAAGTATTTCAGTCGCAAGGAGTCCTTTCGACAAGTTTAAAAATTCGAAGGAAAACAAGAAGTTCACAAGTCCAATTATGGCAGTCTTAAAACGGACTATAGAAATATGCGCAAGTGACTCCGTTATAATGATAATAATGTAGTCTTCATTAAACATCTAATCGACACAGAAAATTCTAGATGTGCATCTTCTAAAATGACAAAATGACACTGCGTTTGATTTGTCAATACTGCTCCCATGATGCATGTTACATTACATTTGCATAGCCAAAGCCATGGTACACGACATGGAGTGTGAACTAGGAAATGTATACAAGTTCATTACACTTTAGAGAGATAGATGGAAACCATTTATCAATATTAATGTTGAGGTGAATTACCGAATTGCCCAAGCTATGGGTTTTTCAATTCATACGATCAAGTCTACGGTAGAATAAAAACAAAAGCGGGACGTAAAAGGATATTAGACAGCTTTGATACAGGGTGATTGAACGTTTAGTGTACAAGCTTTATGATAAGATAACCCTGTAGTAGTATTTGGGACGAAATTAAAGATACAATAATGTTTCCCGGACTGCACTAACTATCGGTCTCCAAGAGATGGGATTTCGATACAGTGCGTGGCGATGGCCGACCAGTTTTCAGGGGAAAATATTCATCCTGTCTATGAGGTCACATTATCTCCGGACCATTCATAACTATCAGTCAGGACATCCAGATAATTTACCTTGATGAATCATTCCACTGACTACGTGTGGCTATCGTAGCACCCATGGTACCATCAGATAAAAGTAAAATCGCGTGATTGTTTTGCACGCTGCAACCCATGATATTGGGCTTATTGATGGATGTGTACAAGTTTTCGAGGCGAAAAAGAAACCTGATGTCCATAATGAAATTATAGTAGGTGATGAGTTCGTAGACTGGTTGGAATATCGGTTTTTGCCCTTTTTAAACAACGCCAGTGTCATTGTCATTGTCATTGATAACGCCAGTTAATATAACGTCCGTGAATAAGATACTGTCGCACCAACCACGAATAGTCTAAAGGCGACCATACAGGAATATGACATTGTCGACTCCAGACCATCTGAAACGAAAGTTCAACTCGTGGAGAAGCCATGTGCTGGCGGCACTACACGGTCACGTTTTCTTACGCACGCCAGTCACATTGTGAGCTCAACCCTGTTGTACCTGTCGTGGCTATGTGTAAAGGGTTCGAGGCAAGTGACAACACAACATTCAAAAGTACAGATTCATATACGTCATACGATAAATGCTACCTCGAGAAACCGTCTGCAGAACAACAAATACTTGTTTCCAAAACCTCAACCTTCCAATACTCATCCCGTTTCATAGCTTTAACTATTCCATCATGTATCCAAGCAAATATAATGCAGTAATCCGAAATTGCTACCCCATCAACGCACATGTCAATTAACTATAACAGCAATATTTTGAGACCACCCCCAACTCGGGTGACATTTGCACCTGTGAGAATGCACGGGATGCTGTGAGGTCATCACCTCAGGTTATAGGCCGTTTCATACAGGCATGACAACAAACGAATATTTTCTGTTTATCATCATTTTACCTGTAAAAGTACATTTTAAGGGTAATCACAATGTCAGTTTGGACAGGCTATATTAGGTCAATACGCGTTATTTTGATATATGCTCTTTTTTATAGTCCTATGACTCGCATTTATTAAATGAAGCCAGAAACGCATTTTTCTAGCATTTCCGACAATCTTCTAACAAACACGTTTCTTACATGAATGATGAATTATTTTGTAGGTATGGCTGTTTCGGCACTCATCTTTGCTGGTTTGGTGGTGAGTTGGAATTAAGTTTTGAAAATATTTTAACCTATGAATATTTGAAATGCTATATAATATTTTATTTTCAGTAGATTTTGTTATTTTATCTATTAAGTAAATCTGTCTGTATTCGTTCTTTTTTAGGCTTCGATTGTAGCGGAATTTCCCACGGGGTACATTTTGACAGGTAATCAGTATTTTTTCAAGGCCCTGAGACAAACGTTTTCCAGCCGTGAGCTGCGAGGGTGTCTGACAATCAGGACTTAATAGTTGGGAGTCCTCCTAACGAGTAACAGTTGAATCACATCGCAGTTTTACGTCGCTTTAATCTATTCAAGTAACAGCACGGCGAGGACAACAGCAATTTTCTCTCATTAAAATCAGATCTTAGTTCTTGCTACGGCTAAACAAATATGAGGACACTCCATTACAGGTCACGTCAGGCATACCTTTTTGACGTTAGCCAATCAGAAGGCAGCTTTCTCGTGTTTTACGGATCGATTATCTGTAACTGTTTTGTATCATTTATCGCAAATAAATGGGCAGTAGTCGGGTATGGTCTCCGAACACGCTGAAGATGTCTGACATCTCGCCCATCCGTCCACCACCAGATCCCAACAATCTTGGCAACTGTGTGGTAGCCAAAAAAACACCACTCACTCACTCACTCACTCACTATATTTATATTTATAAAAACAATCATGATCTGGTAATGGTTTTATGTTAATAAAATGCAACTAAATTAATATTAAGTGCCAATCGGCCACAGACGAATGATATGCCATTGAATGAGACTATTTTAGCCCTGTTATATCAACAATTGCAAATACTAGATCTAGCTCTAAGACATTAAACAGTAAATGACATTATGGGTGAAGTAATTTATCTGGCTCTAAATTGTATATATATCAACTTCTCATCGCTATATGGCTGAAATAATGCCGATGTGACGTTAAACTTTTACCCCTTCACGGCTCTGACTGATAACCTTTCCATTCGACTCGCAACAAAATACATGGATAATGCATAGAAAATACATTTCTGCTGAAAATGAATAATCTTCATCGAAGGAGTATTATAATTTACGTTTAATGCGTATTGACTTCTCAGTCAGAAATATATTCTCTGGAAAGAAGCGTTGATTAAAACACTTCCCCGTTTCTCTTCTCCACTGCTGCCTGCCTCCGTGGTCTAATGGTAGAGCGTCCGCCCGGATAGCGGAACTTCCGGGGTTCGATCCCTGGCCGTCATACCAAAATACGTTAAAAGATGGTTCTTGTTGAACTTGTATCACATTTGAAACTCTTCCCTCTCACTGGGTAGCTGTACACACGATATAGCTTCCATTTACTCCGATAAAGCTTCTTTTTATTCAAAAGGACAGGAGGGGATTTACATCATTGAAAATTTCAAATATTCCCCTTTTTCTAATTATTATTTTGAACATGTGAACAGTGCAACCCAACTGTGGTTATACCGGTAGCAGCGAAGCATCCATCGCCATCCTCGCCGACTTTGACATCACTGCCAAAGCAATGTGTGACAACGGAGAGTTCAGCTTCAAACGCAAAGACCCAGTCCATTACTCCCTGAGTTTGTCCTACCCAGGATCCCCCAAGGACAACACGTGCATATTTCCAGTGGGTGTTGCGTTAGGCTGTCTATTCTCGTAAACCTCTATTCCTACCCCAGAGAATGTACTATATTTAAAAGATTTCATTGAGCTACATGCCTTAAAAATGTTTAATGCAATAACATATTTTATTATATTTACCAACAGATAGTTTTGTGCTTGTAACCCGATTAAATATATAAAATGTATTTGAAATTTCACCTGTTCCCAAGTCAAGGAGTGCTGGCATATAAAGAACATTTGAAACTGAGTTTAACATGCTTTGAGTTTAGTTCTCATTTGTTAGTAAAAATCGACTGTATGTAAGCGCTATTTTCCCGGGTAGCCACGCAATTCCTTAATAGGTGTCAGTATGCAATGATTTCCGAATCACCGAACTATCCTCACTCTATTTCCCCCCACAGAAAAAACAAGGCGCAGACCTGTTCGTGGTGAATCTGTTTGTCTCCTTCGGCGAGTCGAGCAACACGATCCACAGAAAGGGAGAGAACTACACGGTGACCTGCCCTCCTGGTAACGTCGACAGTAACGACCAGGACTCCAGCGAGGAGTATGTTCAGCACAATCCCGCAGGGATTTCTTGTCAGAATAACTCCCCAGTTTGTCAAAACAGCGACCACATTCACCAGCCTGTCAAATTCGATGACTTGGCTGATAGTATTTCATCGTTATATCGCCCACCTTTGAACATCCGGGTTAGCATAAGTCTTCAGAAACCCATGCTTGCCGTAAAAGGCAGCTGTGCTTGTCGTAAGAGGCAACTAACGGGATGCGTGGCCAGGCTGGCTGACTTGCTTGATGCATGTCATCGTATCCCAATCGCGTGGATCGATGCTCATGATGACAATCACTGTGGTGGCTAGTCCAGACTCGATTATTTACAGACCGCCGTCAGAGCAGGAATGTTGCCGAGTGCGGCGTTAAACAACAAATAAATAAATAACCTACAACTGTCGTAGCGTTACGAGCTTTGTGCAACAGGGCCCTGACTCGGTTACGAGGCTGATTGTTGTTTCACAACAGCGAGCATCCTTGACCCTGATCTCACTGGTTTTCCTTGTACGGCATATGTTTGATAGGCCGTCGCAATGATATAGCTAGAATATTGCTGACATGCGTAAATAACCACTATGTTTATGTCTTGTATCACATGTATGCAGATCGTAATAGGTTGACCGCGCCTGACGAAATACATGATGGAAGAACCACTAAATCGACGATAACCTTGCACATGACTGACGTAATGGGATCCGACTTGAGCGGACAGAATGTCCATCTGAAGAGAATGGTACTGCTTACAGCCACGACTGATGGTACGTATGGAATAAATTCCAAACAAATCGTTTGTTTTAAGAGGCGACTAAATTGGGAGTCTTACCATGAGAGATCTTGCTGACAGTGTCATTGCCTCGGGTTTTCTCCGATGGTGACACTTGATCTGTGAAAATCCCTGCTCATGCGTTGCACCAAAGTGGTAGATTTCTGCTTTCTGAATTTCCACCCAGGTTGCTTTGTTTGAGACACGGCCCTGATCTGGATAGAGAATAGGTCTTCAAAAACTCATGCTTCCGTAAGAGGCGACAAACGGGATCGGGTGGTCAGGCTGGCTGACTTGGTTGATGCATGTCATCGATCTCAGTTGCGTGGATCGATGCTCATGATATCAATCACTGGATTATCTGGTCCAGACTCGATTACTTAGACCGCCGTCAATAGCTGGAATACTGCCGAGTGTGGCGTTAAACAACCAACCAACCAACCATCTCCGTCAACCACCTCCGTCAACCACCAACGTCAGGACTTGGCAGGAGTGGATTTAAAAGTCCATGAGAAATCACTTCTTTCGAAAGGCCACGGAAACAATGTCCCGACATCACTGAAATCACGACACAGGGACATAACCACAACAACTTTTCAGAACATGCACAATTGAGCAAATCATACACGAAGCACTGTTTCTGGGCCACAACTGTCACATTTCTTTAATAGACTCGGGGGCGGTCGGGTAGCCTAGTCGTCAAAGCCTTCGCTCGTCACGCCGAAGATCCGGGTTCGAGTCCCGACATGGGTACAATGTGTGAAGTCCATTCCTGGTGTACCCCGCCGTGATATTGCTGGAATATTGCTAAAAGCGGCGTAAATCCATACTCGCTCAATTTTCTTGAAAAACGAATCCCGTTCTTGAAATTGACAGGTCAAATCAGATCCCTGATGTCAAAATATCGGGCTCGTGAAAAGAGGGCTTTTCAGTCATGCTCCAGTTCCACTGGCTAACTATTACGACTTACAAATAATAAATAATAGTAGAATGTCAATAAAGTTTGTTGGACAAATAAATTCGTTCAGCATTTTAAAACTTTCTACTACGTATACCTGTCACCCTTACAATGGGAAATGGAATATTCGATTTCCAAGAAATGACTGTGTCCAAACAGTGCACAGCAGGTTGTGATGAATGTAAAAATAAAGTCTCTGTACTAATTTATGAGAGTTTATTGTAAACTTCCTTTCGGAAACCCATCTTCCCGAGGCAAGAGATTTAACTAACAAAATAAGTCCATTTTCTACCCTTGCCGAATTTTGCTGGAATTTCTGGGCCCCATCGTAGCGCCACCAGTACCTATTACGAGTTATGTCCCTTCTATGTCCCTTTTGACCATCAGATTCCACCTCATATCTCTTCAATTTGCATCAAACAAAATGGCGACGCCCAGTAAAGACGATCTGAGCGATTATCAAAATCTGTATTGTAATGAAACGTGTATTACTTATCGAAGTGCATCAGATCACGTGAGCACCTTGATTAAAAACATGAAAAGATTTGCAAAATATCCGACGCCGAGTTGACGGTACACATGCTATGCAAATCCTGCAATCCGAACGAAATCTGCACGGCAATTTACGAACCGGATGTCGATTTTGTTGCGCGATTTTGATTGGACTATGCATGGACTCGTTACACAACAACATAACACAACTCCATAATTAAAGCCTGGTTCGGCAAGGAAATTGGACTTTCAAAGTCAGTTGACTCCCTTGCCTCGGGAAGATGAAAACCAGTGTGTGTTGAACTAGACAAAACTATGGTTAATTTGATGAACTTAATATTTGTACTACCTGTGCCCCCTTTTCGGAATGTTCTGAGATGGCGGACCTTTGTCCCCCGTGCAGTTACGCGTTGCAAGAGAGCACCATTTTCAAAGCACTCTTGTCATAGTAGAATGCGGATACACGTGTACTGAAACTTGATGTAGTCACGATGTAGTCACGATGCAGAGTAGATGCCTCCGTTCCAAATTAAAATAATAGATATCTACAGTTGGGCTACATGAAATTTCAAATACAGTAGATGTATCTCCTAATTTGCTCTCATTTTCTTTTCTTGGTTTCATGCAGGTGCGGAACACGAACTGGGCATCAAGCCTGTCTCCTGTGACGCAGTGTCCGTCGCCACCAATAAGAAATACACAATCCTTCGAGCAGGGTATGTCGCATAAAACTGAATGCAGCAAATGTAACAGACCATATCTGATTGTAATGCAATGGCGATAACTCTGCATGGGTCTGTCGCACACTTGCTAAATCCATCATGTTACAGTAAACCACGTAACCATGGAGACCGGTCGACAACTCGTAGTATCTCCCTCAATTCCTCCCAAGAGGGATTTCGGGGTAGAATACGTCCTCAGCAACCCCACGAGTCCACTTGTATACATCGGGTGGACTCGTGAAGATCCGGGTTAGAATTTGTCTTCAGCAACCTATTCTTTCCATAAAAGGCGACAATGCTTGTCGTAAAAGGCGAGTAACGGGATCGGGTGGTCAGGCTCACTGATTTGGTTGATGCATGTCATCGATCCAAATTGCGTGGATCGATGCTCATGATGGCAATCTATGGATTATCTGGTCCAGATAAGATTATTTACAGACCGCCGTCATATAGCTGGAATATATTACTTAGTGCGGCGTTAAACAACAAACAATACATCGGGTGGTTTGATGGTTGAGTGTCGGACCAGGCCGTTTTACACAGATCTTGGCAAGTCCTACTTCTATACTTACGACAATCGTAACGCAAAGATCGCTTTATGCAACGGGTCCTGGCTGATTGGGTTGCATCATAGCTTGCTCATGTTGTCAACCACAGGTTTGCCTGGTACCACCTTATAGCTGGAATGTTACCGACTGATGGGCATCCTCTCGCCAACATGCCTACTTCAACGGCACACTCAACAATATTCCAGCTATATGATGGCGGAGTGTAAATCGCATCTGGACCCGACAATCCTGTAACTGACGGCAGGAGCATTGATCTAAGCAATAGGGATCGATGACATGCATCAACCAAGTCCTGTCCAAGCCTGACCACCTGATCCCGTTAGTCGCCTTTTACGACAAGCATAGTCGCCTCTAATGACAAACATATAGACCTATTCTTTCCCGGATATTCACCGGTCTACCTGCCTTCTACTGGGTGCAGGGGCGGTCGGGTAGCCTAGTGGTTAAAGTGTTCGCTCGTCACGCCGAAGACCCGGGTTCGTTTCACCACATGGGTACAATGTGTGAAGCCAATTTCTGGTGTCCCCTCGCCGTGATATTGCGGGAATATTGCTAAAAGCGGCGTAAATCCATACTCTCACTCACTCAACAGGGTGCAGCTGCTTCTGAGTAGACCGAAACTGTTGAAACGTCCATAAAAGGTAGAATCACGTTACTCTATCGCCATATTTCCTGTGAATGTTAAGTTGCCTATATTTCACTGCGGAAGTATTTAAATTAACATTTAAGCTCAGAATGAAGGATTCTATATTGTAATACACTCCCATTAATCGCACTCGCAAACAGACACCATCCGGCCGTCAAAAATAATGCACGAATTTGCCGTTTCATACAAAACGCTGTATTTCATCGGAAGAATATTCAAAGATGTGAGGTTGCTGTGCATACAGCTTCAATTGTTATGCTTAACATATTGTACAGCAGAGATTTTATGAGCACGTGCGCTTATGTTGAAAATGTACAACCAGTTATATGCATTAGAGGCCAAGACTTCAAACTGAGCCATATTGGCACATGTCTTGTATGTACCAGGCATGTGATCATTGCGGTCTTATTTTCTTCATTTTAAAGTTTACTTTCGCCCGAAGTTGAGCATCAACAGAACGTTAAAGTCATGGCGAATCTAAGATGCGCTGCATCTTCCCTTCCATTACGCTAAGTATCGTCAATGTCATCGCAATGTTTCCCTTGCATTGAAATGTGCATGTGTAGCGGTATCCCACGTGACTGTAATGCAGTTTGCCACATACCTCCATCCTTCAACACATGTTGTGGAATTCTTTGTCATGCTAACAGACCGGATACGATTCACGGTGGCCAAATGCCCGTTAGATATGTGGACTATTTTCCAGACACCGTGCCCATGTCTCGGGAGTTATTTATTTCCTCATCTAAATAACTTAGGTTTTTTTATTACAAATGTTCAAAAAGGTAGTTTAGACGAACACGTATTTCGTTTTAAGACCATATGAATGTACGTTCTTCTTTGCTTTTCAAGAGCGAGGAAGGTAAATGAACGCAATCGGAATGTCAGGGTTGACAAATGTTGACCACTTGAGCAGGTTACGTCTTAAAGCAAGACAAGGAACTCATCAAACCTAATGTTAATTTCGTTTACAGTGTTTTCTTTTAAGGTTCTTCGAGGGTATAAGTTTGCTTGTTTCTGTAACCCTTGGAACATGGGATGTTTTGTTGCTGCGATGTAATCTTTTGGAAAGATAATCGTTATCACTCCAAAATAACAAACTTGAAAAGGAAATGGCGTTGCTAGGTCGACAACATCGGATACGGAGTAATGTATGCCTTCCCTGTCAGGTGCGGTGACGGACAGGTATTGCCAAAGACCCGGGGATTTTTGACAACGGGCCTCACTACCCGAAGCCCCTACTTTGAAGTTTTCAGCATAGAGGGAGAGGAACAAATGAAGTTTGAATGCAACTTTACCATCTGTGCTCGGAATTGTGATGGGGTGAGTACTTAAAGGACGAGGATGTTGTCGTTGATAGCTTGTGAAGATAATGAAATGGTTTCTGTGTTGAGTGAGCGAGTATGGTTTTACGCCGCTCTTAGCAAAATGGGCTTCACACATTGTACCTATGTCTGGATTCGAACCCGGGTCTTCGGCGTGAGGAGCGAACGATTTTAACGTCAAGGCTACCCCACAACCCCTTTGTGTTGAAACCGAATACATCGTCGACCATTATATGAAAAGGGGCGGTCGGGTACTGTGTGAAACCAATTTTCTGGTGTACCCCGAGTTGATATCGCTGGAATATTGCTAAACGCGGCGTAAAACCTTATTCACTCGCTCATTATATGCAAAAATGTTAATTTGAAACGGCCACTAAAGGTCGGTGCTCCATTTTCGATATTAGGGTCTACCCAAGCTGTATGAAGAGATGTACCCGTGTTCCGGGTAAGAAATCTTCAGCAACTCATGCTTCTTGTAAGAGGCGACTCACGAAATCTAGTGGGCAGGCTCGCTGACTCGATTTGTGTGTGTGTGTGTTGTTGAGCATCCATCCACGCAATTGGGATACGATGGAATGCATCAACCAAATCGGCGAGCCTGACAACCCGATCCCGTTAGTCGCCTCTTACGACAAGCATGGGTTGCTGAAGACCTATTCTATCCCGGATCTTCACGGGTCGATTCGGTTTCTGCATGAAATCGTTTCCCAATTGCGTGGATCAATGCTCATGTCAATCACTGGATTGTCTGAACCAGCTCGATCTTGAACAGACCGCCGTCATATAGCTGGAATTTTGCTGAGTGCGGCGTTAAACAACAAACCCACCAACCAACCTGGTTTTGTAACTATGTAGCCAAGTTTTACCATCGCCACGTAGCCGAGAGTTACTCAATAGCAATGAAGAAGTAGACACCCCTTGCGGGGCATTGTGATATACGAAGGCGTTATGGCCGATTATATGCAAATTGAGTTGAAAATGAGGCTATGAAATTCGGCTGTCGACGAAATGCATGCAAAGTCTGTTGTGCAAAGTCTGTTGTGCAAAGTCTGTTGTGCAAAGTCTGTTGTGCAAAGTCTGTTGTGCAAAGTCCGTTGTGCAAAGTCCGTTGTGCAAAGTCCGTTGTGCAAAGTCCGTTGTGCAAATAGAGTACGAAGAAGTCAGTTGGTGCGAGTCGGTTTTAAGGCACCTGCAAATCAATAGCGATAGCAGTCATTGACATGAACCCTTCTAAGGATGTACATCTGTAAACACTCGCCGCTCTTTTAGGGAGACTCGGTGACACATCAGGCGACACACGTTTAACCATGCAATACATACACTGCACTGAAGGAAGACGTTACACAATATGAATATGTTTCGCCAACTGGCTCCTAAAACACTTGTGATCTTGAAGCCTTGATGCGCTGTAACCTCATGATCGATTGTAATCAACCTTGAATAATATTGTTGCCATGGGTTATGTTTAATCACGTTTCGTGAAATCCCTGTTTAGTCGTGCAGCACATCTAAGAAGTCATTCTTCGGAATGAAGTCAATTGCTCTTGACCGTGTTTCAAGAGAAAGCCATTGGACGAGTAGGTCAATTATCCCCGGCACAATCACCAAGCACGCGTATGAGGAAACACGTACGTTTTTGGAAACGGAATGACTTGCATATACAATGCATATTGTTCACTGCACCTGTAGAGAATGTTATAGTGTCATAGTCGTCTAAGACTCAATTCGCTGTACATAGTTGGGTCCCTTAGGCATCTCAGAAACACTAGAATTTGGTTCGAATCCCTGATTCTACCTGCTTAATATCCTTGGTTTGTCAACACCATACCTTATGCTCGTAGGTTTCAAACGTCTACGATCAGTGTCGGGTCTGGATTTCCTTGTGAAATACTACTGTTCAAATTTAACTCATATAATTATTGAATATTTGGATTTGCAGAGCTCGTGTACAACCAGCAGGAGGAGAAGAGGAACTTTGTTTGAATATTGTAAGTTCCTGATAGCTTAATTGGTAAACTCGTCTCCTGTACATCAACATGTTGCATCCCCGTGGGGTTTTTTTGTGGGTGAAATTGCTGGTTGTTGCAGTCATGGTGGTGGAGTCGTTGCCACAGCAGTAGTCTTCAGTATGTCATACTTTGAAAGGACGTCTTTGTGCCTTGTATAGTTAAAATAACTGGTTACGTAATATCCTACTTGTTTTTCACCAATGGTGACAATAGGTTACCAAGAACCCGTTACCTTTTTTAAGAGCAGACCAGTAAGTGTTTGTTTGTTGTTTAACGCCGCGACCAGCAATATTACAGCCATGTGACGGCAGTCTGAAATAATCGGGTCTGGACCAGACAATTCAGTGATTGACATGAGCATTGATCCCCGCATTTAGGATACAATGAGATGCATCAACCAAGTCAGCGGGCCTGATCACCCGATCCCGTTGGTCGCCTCTTACAAGCATTGTCGCCTCTTACAATCATTGTCGCCTTTTACGGCAAGCATGGGTTGCTGCTGACCTATTCTACCCCGGATCTTCACGAGTCTCCAGTAAGAGAATTGGGTGGGCACAATGTAACGGGACGTTGCCCATGCTATTAACCAATGGTTTAACTCAATTAGCCTGGGTTTGTTTAGATTGTGCTGGATATTACGAAACCCTCGATCACCGCTATCCAATAAACATCCCATTCACCCACACACATAAGTATGAAAGAATTGTCATCGAAAGCCTCTCCGACATTGCTAGTTTGTTGTTTAACGCCGCACTCGGCAGTATTCTATCTATATGATTGGGGTCTGTAAATAATCGATTCTGGACCAGACAATCCAGCGATTAACGTGAGCATCCATCAACATAATTGGGATACGATAACGTGCATTAACCAAGTCAGCGAGCCTGACCACCCGATTCTGTAAATCGCCTCTTACAAGCATAGTCGCCTTTTACGGCAAGCATGTGTTGCTGAAGACCTATTCTACCCCGGATCTTCACGGGTGGCTGAAATGCCTTTCCCTGATCCATTGACAGTTTGCAGACAGTCGGGATTAAAATGATTGCCTACCGTTGACGTCAAACCCAACCAGTATCTCGCCTATTATTAGCATATTTTGTTTCAGTGCCAGACGACCAGAGCGACCTCGTGGCATCTCCCACTATCGTTATACGCATCCCGAAAATCGCAATCAATCCTCCACCAATGGCCTCCGTGGGCCAGGTGGTCATGGAGCGATCTATTGACCACGGCCTGGATAGTCAGTGGTATTTTCTCTTAGTTCTCGGATCCCTGGCTTTCCTGTCCGTCATCCTAACCATAATCATATGTTTGCTCACCACGAACAAAGCGCCTTTAAAACTTAAAACAGTACCAACCCCTTAATGAATAAAATGTGAATAGTCGCTTGTGTTTTTCTTTCATGGCAGAATAATTATCAATTTTAAATGTGATATTTGTCTCGAGAGACGACTTAAATGTGGATCGGACGACTACAATGGTATTTGAGTTTGGGTAGTATTTCCAATGGTTCAACTATCCACACGAAGTCTTCTTCACCATGAGGAAAAGCTTGCTCCCCTTTCGTAAAATCGAATCGACCAACCTCGACATGTTGTACGTGCGGTGTGGTTACGGAGAATAACATTTCGCGGAAATAATGGACACAACGCACCCGTCTGGTAAAAGCCACTTATATCTAGCCGCAGTTGGGTCAACTCGGCTTATTTCGTGACCGGTGGCACGGGTGGCCCAGTTGTCTAAGGCGCCGCGATTCGCTGTGCAGAATTGCGTCCCTTGGGCACGCCAGAAACCTATGATTGTGGGTTGTTTGGTTTATTGTTTAACGCCGCACTCAGCAATATTCCAGCTATATGACGGCGGTCTGTAAATAATCGAGTCTGGACCAGACAGTCCAGTAATTCATATCATGAGCATCGATCCACGCAATTGGGATCGATGACATGCATCAACCAAGTCAGCGAGCCTGACCACCCGATCCCGTTAGTCGCCTTTTACGGCAAGCATGGGTTGCTGAAGACCTATTCTATCCCGGAATCTTCACGGGTTCGAATCCCGGTTCGCCCCGATTATGTTTCTGGGTTTGTCAGCACCATACTCGTGCTCGTTGGTTTCACGGAAGTGGTAAACGTCACTCACTATTCCGTGACTTTCATTGTGCCCGAGGCTGCAGTGAAGTGTTATGCATGATTTCACTGGGAGTGAAGAAACAAGCCCACACACTTGTCATTTCCGGATAAACTAAAAAGCCGAACGTCGTTTTTGTGATAGCGGTTTACTCGTGCGTGCTAGATAAGTGAATGTCTCATGTTTTGTTTCACGCCGCACTCAGCAATATTCCAGCTACATGACGGCGGTCTGTAAATAATCGAGCCTGGACCAGACATTTCAACGATTTACTTGAGCATCGATCGCCGAAATTGTGATAAGGTGACGTGCATCAACCGAATCATCGAACCTGACCACCCGATTTCCTTAGTCGCATTTGACACGCAGTGTCCTCTCTTAAAGCAGGCATCGGTTGCTGATGACCTATTCTCTTGTACCCAGATCTATTCGGGTCGGTTCTGTGTGTGTGAAACACAGAACGAATATACTACTGTACTTTCGACAGCTATTATTTTCTACGATACAAGAAAATGATTCTCGTAATGTGTGTATATTGAAAAAAGGGATAATGAGATACCATGTCATTTTCTCAGAAGATGATTAGTATCGATTGAATCGCGCTCAGTACAGATAAATTTTGTTTTGCATGTGGGTGCCCTGTTAGAATTGTTCTCCGGGACCTAACATGGAGCGAATGATTAACAGTACCCGGACTGCGTGGGGCATTGCTCACGGTATCCACCGTTGGTTGGGACCCGTGAAGATCCGGGGTAGAATAGGTCTTCAGCAACCCATGCTTGCCGTGAAGATCCGGGGTAGAATAGGTCTTCAGCAACCCATGCATGCCGAAAAAGGTGACTATGCTTGTTGTAAGAGGCGACTAACGGGATCGGGTGGTCAGGCTCGCTGACTTGGTTGATGCATGTCATCGTATCTCAATTGCGTGTATCAATGCTCATGTTGTCAATCACTGGATTGTCTGGTCCAGCTTCGATTATTTGCAGATCTCCGTCACATAGCTGGAATATTGCTGAGTGCGGCGTTAAGCAACAAACAAACACCGTTAGTTGGCCTGACACAGACTCTATTGTTTGCTGGCCAGCTTTAATATTGCTGATCTTGGCGAGAGACAATGCCATGGCGGAAGTCGTCTTATCCAAAAGATAATACGTCTCATGAGGCTATTGTGTTTTTGATCGGCGTATGCAATCTTTGATATCGCATGACTCACAGCGATACGCATCCATGTGCTCTGACACTACCGAGGGCGGTTCATTCGTCTAAGGCGTCGCATTTCCGGTTTCGCCAGCTGTTATGCCCCTTGTATAATGCTCAGTGCGGCGTAAAACAAGACTTTAAGGCCCCGCAATATGATGTGAAGAGTACGTCCCTTGGGCATGCCAGAAAACTGATCGTCGATTCTACTCCCGGTTCGCTCCGAGTTTTTCTTGGTTCGTCCGAGACCTGCATCTCTTCGGGATTTCCTCCCCCAGTAATCTGACACGCCGTGATATCACGGAAATATTTTTTAAAGCGGCGTTGAATCCAACTCGCTCTATCAACCAGTATTTGACCAGGAACTGGTTACAATTATCAAACGGTGGTTCACATGGAGAGAGACATCCAGAAGACAATTCTTCAATATGATTGACCCGGAGTGGTTTAAACATTCGAGGATCCGAGGACACATCAGTGTGATGAGTAACTTATGCGTAAATGTTTAAAATAAGGTTAATTGTAGCCACGAGGTTAACGTCTATCCGTTGACGCGGCTAATCATGACCTTGAGATCAAACACATGAACGAGCAGGGTGATGCCCATCATCATAAATAACAGTTCTTCGTGTTCTTCGTGCCTATTTGAATCGAGCAGTTTGAAAAAATAAAATAGAAATGTATGAATGAAACTAGAATATTTATCTGGGACCGACAATGTCTACCACGCCATTTCAGGGACTTCAACGATCTTGGCTGCTTAAGATTGGTCGCGAACAAGTTAAGTTTCGACTGTAGCCTAGAAGTCTACAATCGCTTTGTGCAAGTTGATGGCGATTGTAGCCGAAGCCTAAGATCGCGATCGTAAGGATGTACAATAATTATAGCGCTAAGATTGTTTTGTGCAAGCGGACCCTGGACCGCTTTAGTGGAGTAATGGATAGAGCGTCTGCCTGTAGGGCGGAAGCCGGTGGTTCGATCCCTGGCGTGTCAGACCCAAATACGTTAAAATATGGCATTTGTTGTTACCCTGCCTGGCGCTCGGCCTCAAGTGGATGAAACAAGGACGGATGGGCTCAGTCGATGTACTGTCTGAGTTGGATATCCATGTTAACCTGTGGCGTATTAACTGCACACTCACTCACTCGAGCAGACACTCAGTGCGAACTCACTCAACCGTATACTTCAATATGGAAGTGAGAGATTCATTTAAACTTTTTAAGCTGTTTCCCTCTAACAAATCCTAATATAAATGCAGGGTTGATGTGTTACTGTAGTGTTTGATTTGATTACGGTACCAACGCCATTACCTGAGTAAACAATATAAAATATGCCGGTGATTTGAAACTGGGCCGGGGATTACACAAACAGGTGTTTAAATGTCACATGGTTCTGTGGATAATGGTTTTGACTTTCAAGAATGTTTTCGCTGCTATGTACAGTCTAACACATTCATTGTGTAAGGAGATTAAGTTTCCACTTGTGTCAATATCAGGCTAAAGATCAGCTTGCGTAATGAGATAGCAATGATCTATAATGTCAACTTATTTCTTGCTTTAATGGGTACACATTCATTCGAAATGAAAGTGAATGTCATGCGACTTTGAGTGGTTAATTGTCCGCCACATGCAATGTAATGCTCTTGGCCAATACCGATTACTTTTTGTATTTAGAGTCCAGGCTATTATCGTATATCTGTTTTTTCAGCATCATGGCGTGCTAAAACGGGCGTCGTTTTAGAATATCTATCCATCTATCTATCTATTTATCTACCTATCGTTCTTTCTATCTATCTACCGTTCTATCTATCTATCGCTATATCGTTCTATCTATCTAGGGGCGGTCGGGTAGCCTAGTGGTTAAAGCGTTCGCTCGTCACGCCGAAGACCCGGGTTCGAATCCCGACATGGGTATCATGTGTGAAGCCCATTTCTGGTGTCCCCCGCCGTGATATTGCTGGAATATTGCCTAAAACGGCGTAAAACCAAACTTACTCACTCACTCACTTCTATCTATCTATCGTTCTATCTATCGTTCTGCGGCTGGATAAGCCAACGGATAAAATCGGTATCCGTTTGAGTCATTTATTCATAGATATGCACATAACTGTGGTCAGATAGCTACTTCATTAAATGTTTATCTGTGTCTTACTATATTATTAGAACTATATTGCCTCTTCTCACTGTCCGACTTACTTGTCTGAACTTGTGACAATATATGGGTGACTTAGAGGCGACTAAATTGGCAACCGGTTGGGATTCGGGCTTAGACGTGGCCCCTAGCAACCCATGATAGTCGTAAGAGGCGGCGTACTAGATCGGGTGGTAGTGTGCCGGTCCCAATTGTGTGGATCGATGCTCATGATGTCAGTCATTGGATTGTCTGGTCCGTCACTTAGCTGGAATATTGCTTGCGGCGTTAAACAACATACACACACATACGCTGACAGATGCCGTGACAAAGATGTACTATTACTGTCAATATTCACTCAGTCACACGACCGCCTCCGTGGTCTAGTGGTAGAGCGTCCGCCCGGAGAGCGGAAGGTCCGGGGTTCGATCCCCGGCCGCGTCATACCAAAAGACGTTTAAAGATGGTACTTCTTGTTACCCTGTCTGGCGCTCTGCATTAAGGGGCTAAATTAAGGACTGGTCGGCTCGGAGTCGGTAAACTGTGTCTGAGTAGGGTATTCATGTTAAACTGCGGCATGGTATCTCGGTGAGCTAGCACTATAAATCGGCATCAGTCCGGACTAAAGTACTCATGGAAATGAAAAAAACCCTGTTTTGCTCGATTTAATAATCGACACAAAGCATTACGTAAATACGAAATAACAAAACAACTGCAAAAGTACTAGTCTGGATTTGCTAGTTTTATCTCAGTGCTCAATACAAAATGTACTTTACAGGAGGTAATTTGTAGGCACTTTCAACATTCAAAAATAAAACTAAGTCCAAAATGACATGGCAGAAACAGGCTATAGGCATGATGCAAATTAGCCTGGAAAAAAGTTATCAAAACAACAATAAAAATAACAGCTATGTTTATGTACATAATAATA